AAATTTGATCAAAGATCAATCCACGATGTTCAGTGATTCTTAAACTTATGTTTTGTATAATTTTGGGATTTCAATTATGGATTAATAAATCAAAATCCTTAACATTTTTAAACAAATTTTTGTTTACTATCATTATAAATAATATAATACAATATAAAATGCTATACAATCTTAATTAATCTTTGTTTAATAAATTGCTAATATTTTGCATTATGCAATAAATATATTAAAAAATTAATAGTTATGAATTTAAAAGAAAAATATACATAATTTGAAAAATACGAATTCACAAAGTTTAGGAATCACTTTGTTTCATATTGAATCGATCAAGATTATAATTTTAATATCATTGATAATTGATTGCCATTTTAAATTATCATTTAATACACCAATAATATCACTTGAAATAATGGTTACTTTTTGATGCAAAAATACATTTAACATATATCTATTCTATAGATACATTATACCTACTTTAGTATATGTTTCTAATGATACAGGGAAAAATCCATTCGCAGTCAGACAACAAACTCGTCTAGATCGCCTAATCACAATTATCAGATCCTTTCGAAATATTTTTCCAAATTTGTCCATTGGCATAATCGTCCATAATGCTGAGTAAGCTCCTATAGCAACGTTATCACTGTGCTCTATTACACCATTGCAACTATAGGTGACCATAAACAATAAAAACATCGAACCATTTAACATGAAGACAAAAATGAAGCGTCTTGCAAAAGAAATAGTAGCCTAAAAGAAAAAAAAAATATTAAACAAGAAAACAATTTTGTTTTTATTTCTATATAAATATAATCTTTTTTATATTCCTTAAAAATACTTCTATAGAGATAAAAATAATTATTTAATATTATTAGTTATCTTTTCATCAATTTCTTATTTAAGAAATTGTTGAATTTCGATAAAAATGTATAAAATAAATTTATGATACTAACCACTAATACTTGATATCCGAATAAGCAAATTAATACACTGAATACCAACACTTGTCCAAGCGTAATCATGGTATACACGTTCTCAAGGTTTTGGTAGAAATCGATCAATGCCTGATGATGTTGGACGCATTTTTTAAATTTCTCGTAAAATTTGTGCATCTGTTTTGACAATATCGATTGTGAATTCTCTTTTATCCCATATTCCATGTCACATAGTTTCGTAAATCTGTATCGAAGTATGCGAAATTGACCAGCCAAATGTATGGCCATGATGCAGAAAATATTGTCGAAACAAAAATAAGAGATTCCAACATAATACACACATGTTGCCTAAAAAAAAAATAAAAAAATTGCAATTATTTTCTTTGTTATGTAATATAAAATTGTTATGTAAAAATAAAATCAGTACAGATATTTATTTAATATTATTTAAAAATTATTTATATGAAATATTGATACATTAAAAAATAAATTATAGTATTCATTTTCGTTAAACAAAAAAAAAAAAAGATTTACTACTTATTTTTTAAAAGAGAAATATATTGAGTTTTTTAATAAAAACAAATTTCATTTATTTATGTATAAAAATTTAAATGATTTATTTTTTATTATAGAAGAAAGTATTTTAGAAATTTTAATTATTTTCTTTTTTAATTTTAATCGTAATTTATTGATCACCAAAAATGTTATAACGTAAATTGTTAAATTACTTGTATAAAAAATGTTATTTCATAATAAGGCGTCTTTGATACCGGTAAATTTATCCACATATTGAATGGAAGCATTCTCTCGGATTCATTGTTTCCACTTTGTGCTGTAACAAATATACAAAAACTGTTTGCTTAGGATAGAACATCTTTGGAGAATCAATTCTGAAGGTCAAAAAAATTACAAATCAGAAGTATATAAAAATTTTGTTAAAAAAGACTCATTTATTAATTTATAATCAATTTACGTTTCTGTTAAAGTAAAATAGAGATAGAGCGAGATGGCATTGTGACAGAGACAGAGCAATCTTGTTCTACTTCTGTCTCGCTTCGTATAACGTAAGGCATTGATGTATGAAACTGTCTCTCTCCCTCCTTGGTTTTTTTCTCTATTCTGAATGTTATCCATACTTATTCTAACACCTTCAATTCAAAATAAATAAGCTTCGATTGATATTTTTTCATCTCAACTTTGATATTTATTTTGATCTAAGATCTATCTTGCAAAGATGTCCCTTGAATATATTAATATTCTGTATATTAAATGTAAAATAGAAAAATTAAACATACAATGACATAAGTAAATTTTATTAAAAAAGTATTAATAGAAAATTAAAAAAATTTTTCAATTTTTTCAAATTTGCAATTATTTTTTGTTGTCAAATTTCGTAAAATTTTAAAATATGTAATTTTTAGTTTATGATAAAAATAATATAATAAATATATTA